AGCGACCCCCGTGACCCAAAATGGAATAAACGGGTAAAGATAATGGATGGATGGATGGATGGATGTTGGCACCTCCACATCATTGCAATCAGTTTTTATTCACAATTTGTTTAGTGTCCCAACTTTTTTGGAATCCGGTTTGTATAAAGACTCCTGGTGCTATGACAGTGGGCTGGAATCAAACGGTTTGAGTGACAATATGTGAAATGAGCAGCCAGCTATGGTATGAAAGCTTCATAATTACAGTTATGGGTCCAGTAAGGGTAAATATAATACAATAATCCAATACAACTTTATTTATAAAAGCACTTTAAAACATCACTGTTGGCCAAAGTGCTGTACATTAACACATACCAGCATTAAAAACTAAAATCAACAGGTAGTCAACAGAAATAGGCAAACAGGCAAAAATATCTTAAACAACAATGGTTCATTATTGCACTTGAGAAGCAAAGGAAGACTTTAGTTTTTAAATCAGTTTTGCATTTCAGTGCACTTATTTGCACCAAACATCTTGGTCTAGCCATTACACTGCAACATTGTCCTTTGGAGTCTTCAATCAAGGATCATTTACATCAATCATTAACTCTGAATGGTCCTAAAAACACTACCCGCCCACTTTTAAAGCATTCCAGACACATAGAGCATTATGGGAGCATGAAATGACCACACTGAGCACAGCTCTGGCCCAGAGATGTGACCATTATGATTATCAAATACTGTGTGTTCAGAGTAAAACATTTAGTAGCAGTCTAGTGCCCATAAACAGAAAGCTGTGTGCAATGAAACAGTAACACTCAGGCAGCCTCACAGCTGAGCAGGCAGTGAATTCAGGACATTCACTCTGGCAGGAGAGACAATAAACCTTCTGAAACCAGCCTCAGACTCAACTGATCAAAGAAAGATAGCTGGCTGTGTTAAATATATTGATTAGTACCATTTGTTTCTGCACAATCCAAATCAGAGTGAAGGTAGTGGAGCAAAGCCAGACCAGTTCAAGGAACCGAGGAGGTCGTCCATGCATGCTGCAGGCGGCCTCGGCCTCGCACCAGCCAAACATGAGCCTCTTATCTGGTTTTCTTAGATCTGGCCTCCAAGATCAATGTAAAACCAACAGAGGTCAAGGGTTTGAAAACAAACATGACAAGAAGTTTAATGATGTTGGTGGAGCAATCATGTTTTAGCTGAACACCAGAACCGGTTCGGTCTGAAATGCAAAAATAAACAGATTTCGTTGATTGTTGAAAATCTAAGAGCAAATAGGATAGAAGAGCACAACAATGGATAAACATTAGCACCAGTGACTGAACTGAACAGAAACACTACGTTTTGTAGAAACTGATAATTGTTTGGTTTAGACTTCAAAGTAAAGGAGGACCAAAAAATAAAAATAAACATGGAACCATCAAAATAAATCTCTATTATTTGCTTTTGTTCATGCACATGCTAGCGTTAGCATTGCACCATAGGCAGCCGCTGCAAACAGCTAAAAAAAATCATCACTTCAACCACTATGAGCATTTGCATCCAAGATGAAGCAAAGACTCATGGGAGTGTTTATAATCTGTTATGATCCGTTTATTGATTTATTGTAGCAATCAGTTAGGCAGATAGTTAATACAGTGTGTGTGTGTGTGTGTGTGTGTGTGTGTGTGTGTGTGTGTGTGTGTGTGTGGGTGTGTGTGTGTGTGTGTTCTTTAGTTTCCAATATAAGAACAGAGTGGAGCTTTGCTTTAATCTTGCTGATTAACAGCCAACATGTCAGAAGTTGCCGATGCTTGCAGAGATTTGTTGCTGAAAAAAATAAAAAAATAAATCAAACTGTGATCTCAATCAGGTCGGTGTGTTTCCACTGAAGCATAAAGCTCCAAGTTAGTATTGCCCATATATCTAATTAAAAGTTTCTATGTCGTCATTAAATTGTGAGTTAGTGACAAGCCTCCAGAGTAAATTGTCTTGTTGCATGACTGCATAAAAAAACGTACAAGAAATCCTTTTTCTGTGTAGTTTTGCAGGCCTGAAACAACTTTCTTTATCCTTCACTTGACAAGTTTTCAAGCTATAAGCTCTTCAGTAATGAATTATTTGTGCACAGGGAATATGTTCTGCCTTTAAAACAGGTGCACTTTTAAGAATACTTGTAAAAGTGAAGTGGTGGCGCAGAGGTTAGAGGGTGGGCCTGTGATCGGAGGGTCGTCGGTCAACTCCCCGGACCAACAACATCAAAAAAAAAAAAATATGGGTGGAAAAGGTGAAACACCCACACCTGCCTCCACCCTCATTTAACCCACTCTGGGCCCATGAGCAAGGCCCTTAACCCCCCAGCTGCTCCCCAGGTGTCTTAGATGGAAGCCCACTACTTCACGTGTGTGCTCACATGTGCAATGGGGAAAAGTAAGTGAATTAATTTCCCCAGTGGGGATTATTAAAGTACAATAAATAAATAAAAAAGATGGAAGATTGTGCCATTGTAAGAGGATGCTAGTAACAAAACATCTCCGCTACTTCTGTGCCACATCTTCACTAAATGTCTTTAAAACTGACTGAGTTAACGTTTTTTGTAGTTGCAGACAGCTACATGCTCGGTTATTGGTTGTTCCACAATAATGTCAAAATAATTATTTTCACACATCTGTGGCCACAAATCAAGATGACATCACAGATAAAACATTTATTAGTCATGCTGTGCTGCAAGTAAATTCAGGTAAGGCAGTCTGACACATGAAATTCCACAGTAATGCATCCTGAGGCTTGTTGTTACAGCGAACAGAGCAGGCACACACATGCACTTCTAGGACAAGTGTGTGCAACTACACAAGTTCTGCTCTCATCCCAAATGATAAAAACTAACTGCAGCGACTTTATGAAACGTCTCACAGAGCACAAATATCAACGGATAACATTTTAGAACGACAGAAACTTAAAACACAGAGCTGAAAGACTTCTGAAATTTACTTAAAAATCTGAAACTGAGAAGCTGAACACTGACTCGAAACTAAAAGAAAGCAAAACCATAGCTAAAAGCCAAAATTTGTAAAAGGCTAACAAAAAAAACACACTAGCTAAAAGGGGCAAAACAAAAACTAAATGCTAATAAGAGCAGATGCCTAAAGCAAAAAGTAGCAAAGACAAGCAAAAAGCAACAAAATGTTAGCTGGAAGATAAAAGTAGCAAAAGGCTACCTAAAAGCTAGAAGTTCCATGTTAGCTAAAAGCAGCTAGCCAAAAGATAAATTTAAGAAAGGTTAGCTGAAAGATAAATGTCATAAAACATTAGCAATAAAAACAAAGAAACATTAGCTACATTAATTAATCATTAATTAAACATTAGCAAAAGAGAAGCTAATGGAGGCCAAACCTAAAAGTGGCAAACAACAAGCTAAAAGAAGTAAAAAGGGAGGTAGAAGCTAAAAACATCAAAAGGATATCTAAAAATACAAGTATTACACTGGCTAAAAGCAGCACGTGCTTAGCCAAAAGTAGCAAAAGGCTAGCTGGAAGTAGCAGAATGCTAAAGAAGCAAAATGATAGGTAAAATCTGAAAAAGTGATAAAAACTAAAAATAGCAGAAGGCTAGCTATATGATAGCTCATAACTAAAAGTAGCAGAAGACAAAACAGAGCAAGTACATGAAGCAAATTTCACAGAATTCGTTGGTTTTGAGTCAATTCAAGTTCAAGTTGGTTTTATTGTCATTCGCACCACATGTGGTACATGAGGTGGAACAAAATTGTGTACACAGGATCCCAGTTACATCCAACAAGAACAAAAATATAAATTGTTAAAAGAAACAGTAATAAGGATCTAAGATATAAACTAAGAATACGCTAAACACTAATGGTGCAAAACAAAACGCTGAACAGCAGCACGAACACGAGTCTGTGGGAGCAGATGGGTACGAATGAACACAGAAGCATGAAATAAATCAGCAGCATGGATAATCAGCAGCACATTTCACCAATCAAAGTGGCAATACAGTGATTTTTTTTTCCACAGTTATAATCCTGGTTAGGGATTCATGAGTCAAACAGTCTCAGGGTAGAAGCTGTTCCTCAGTCTAGTAGTTAATGCTCTGCAACCTTCTGCCTGAGGGGAGCGGGGCAAAAAGGTTGAAGCGAATTGAAGCTATATCAACATCTTTCTATCGAGAACATGTTTGTAGATAAAATATAAAGTAAACGTAAGTAAGTGAATGAGCTGGAAGATTTGGAATGGTTACTACTAGAGCGCAAAGTACGCAGAATCAACATTCATACATGTACACACCTTACAAGGCCCAAATGTCGAGCAGGCCACAAAATAAAGTTACTGGTCAGAATACTTTTACTGTATTTGTACTTTAAATACGTGCAGCGCACAACCAAGTAAGTGTAAACCCTGCAGCAGCTGTTTAAAACCTGATGAATGTCTGTCTTGTTCCTCTCAGCTGGAGAGAAACAGCATCCTGCCCCGTCGTGTCACAACAAGAGAAGAAGCGATTTCCTGAAAGTTTGAAAGCTTGTGGTTCCTGCTGAGGTTGACTGCAGATAGTGTGCAACAATTAAATAAATGCATTAACATTTAATATATACACAGTCCACAACATGAGCCTGAATATACCAAGAAGACAAACCTGGACAACACAATTCAATCCATGTAGGTCACACGTACCATTTCTCCAGTTGTTTACTTGATGTTGTGTTACAGCTGTGATTATGGCGGCTGCTCTTTAAATCGGTTTAGGGAGAATAAAAAAAGGTGTAAACTACTTGACCCTGTCCACCAAGTCTCAACTGAAACCTGCTTAAAACTGACTTATAAAGTTTAAGTCGACAAACAAGTGAAAGGCGAGAAAAGAAGAGAGTTTCTGTGATTTATTTGTGTCCAGGTTAGAAACTAGGAGCCCCGGTGAGCAGGTGAAACAGGACGGAGGGCTCACCTGGCCCACCCCCACCTCCCGACCACCACTTTGTTTCAACTTGACGCGGTTTTAATACAAAAGTAAAAACGAGTTAAATGTACCTCGCTGGGCTGCTCGAAGCCTCCTCCGACAGTTTCTCGTTCACATCCCGTCTAATGAACATCGTGGGATGGTCAGCCGCCGGTCCGAAGCTTCTCTCCGCACTTCGAGCCTCCGACTTCCTCCTCGACGCTTCAGCAGCAAATCAAGCGAACACAGTGAAGATGGAGGGGAGAGGTACAAAATAAAAGCACTTCCTGTGAGCGCGCGCCGCGTTCCGATAAACGACAGCTGGGTTGAAGTGGAAGAAAAGACCGGAGTTAAATAAATTAAGTTCTTCAAAAATGTATAATATGCCCCTATTAATAGCGTTTAAATATATAAATTACTGTCGTCAAACGATAGATAAATGGATGCGTTGTAGTTTCAAAATAAAGCTCACAATTTCCGGTAACCTTTGACCCTTGCTAAAAAACGCTCGTGATGGGAACGTCACATCTGCTGCATCGTCATGTATTTAGTGCATTTAATCTAACCATTAATGCAAGTTTTAATAAATTAATTTAAAAATCAATACAACAAAGGTGATAAGTATGTAGGCATTATTTGCACAAAAATAAAAGTGGTGGGATTAGGCCTGTTGCAATAAATCAATTAATCGCGTGATAAATGAAAATTATCAACCTCATTTTCATTTATCGGTTTTATTATTTCTTCGTGTCTCTCTCTTTCTACTGAAGACACTGGATGACAAAAAGCTCAACTCCGGTGTTCTTCATCGACCCCTCCCTTTCTCTTTAAAATCTTTTTTAACCGTCCAAAATCGTGTTTTTGGATTGTTAAAAGCAGCTAAGCAGAGAAGCTAAGCTAACAGGCCAACCTCGGGGAAAAAAACTGTTTTGTCAAAGCTCCAAAATTCATGGTTGAATTTTGTCCGCCATTTTGAGAACCGAAAAATAAGAACGAGAGACAGCCCATGTCACGTCAAGGGGCCTCCCTCCCATTTTTCTTAAAGAGTCACGCTGCTCGCTCCCTCACTATCCATCCTTTGGTTCAAAGAGACTTATACTGCCGTCCGGTGGTCAGAAAAGGTACAACACACAAAAATTAACCAACATTTCTTCTCCAATTTGACAATTACTAATTATTGTCAAATTTCAAACAATATTATCGTTTATCGCAATAATTTCTGAGACAATTAATCGGCCAGCAAAGTTTGTTATCGTGACAGGCCTAGGTGTGATCATTTAAAGCTGCAGCTAAGGTTAATTTGAGTTGAACATTACAGCAAAATCTAGTGGTGGTTAGAGCTCCAAATAGTAATGTTAGGCTATATATATAATAATAATAATAATAATGTCATCACAATGTCAGCACTGTATGTTTCCATATATATATATATATATATATATATATATATATATATATATATATA